CCAGGAAAAGGCATTATTTACATGATGGGTGATTTCAGCGCAAAAGTCAGCACTCAAGCAGAGGCAGGCATCACTGGTGATTTTGGACTAGGGGACAGAAATGATGCAGGAGATCGTTTGGTACAATTCTGCCATGAAAATTATTTTATAATTATGAACACCTGCTTCAAACAGCACAAATGTCGCTTGTACACGTGGACTTCACCAAATGGGCTGCATAGAAATCAAACAGACTATGTCCTTTGCAGCCATCGCTGGACTAGTTCAATCTGTGCTGTGAAGAAATATCCAGGTGCCGACTGCGAATTGGATCATGAATTATTGGTGGCCAAACTCCAAGTGAAATTATGTAACACTGAAAAGATAACACCACCCAAGAAGTTTGACACCACCAAAATCTCACACACGTATGCAGTTGACATAAAGAGCAGGTTTGAAATGTTCAAGGTTGAGCAAGGAGTCCGACAAAGATGTGTTCTCTCCCCTTTTCTGTTCAACTTGCCTGCTCAAGTAATCATGAGGAAGGTGGATCTTGAAGAATCAAAAGTTGGGATAAAGATCCAAGGAAGAAACATCAACAACCTTCAATATGCTGATGACACAACCCTCCTCTCAGAAACCCAGGAAGGTCTAAAGCAATTGATCCAAAGAATCAAAGAAGAGAGTGAGAAATTTGGTCTCCATCTGAACATCAAAAACACAAAGATCTTGGCAACTGCACAGAAAGAAGTCATCAAAATAGCAGTTGATAATGTGGAAATTGAATGTGTAGAGGAATTCACTTTCTGGGGAACACTGGTTACTTGCAGTGGTGAATGCAGTACAGAAATAAAGTGACAAATTTCACTAGGTTGTATGGCAATGACAAGCATGAATCGAGTGTGGAAAAACAAGAGCATCAGCTTAGCAACCAAGTGCAGACTGGTCTGAGTGATCATTTTTCCTATTGCAACCTATGGTTGTGAAAGTTGGTCAATGAAAAAGCTACACAAGAAGAAAACTGACTCATTCGAACTGTGGTGTTGGTGGAGGCTCCTGCGCATTCCATGGACAGCGGGTGTCACCAACAAGCAGGTGCTAGAGCATATTAAACCAGATGCGCCCCTGGTTGGGGTCTGGTTTAATAACAAAGCTGAGACTCATATATTTTGGCCACATTGTGACCAAGCTCATTAGAAAAAGATATAATGCTTGGAATGCTCAGCGGCAAGAGAAAAAGAGCAGGTCCCCAAAGAGCAAGGTGGTTAGACTCCATCAAAGAGGATGTGGGCCAGAGCATAGTTCATCTGAAAGCTGGCATGGATCAAAAAGTGTGATGAGATTTGGCTCATAGGATTGCTTATAATCAGACACAACTGAAGCTCAACAACAAGAACAACTGCTTTCTAATTAACCCAATCAGTTTACCTTCCAAAATCAGTGAACTTATTCCAACCAGAAAGAACAAGTGCATGTAACCACTTCTCCCTCCACAATCTTTGTTCTTAAGCAGCTGGTCCCTAACTGATTGACTAGATGGAGTCTTCAATGAACGTCAAGAATTCAAAGTGGCCACATAGCATCTATCAAATTAATTCACTATTTTTATCAATACAAAGATATATTGCTGTTGGCACAGGAGCTTCTGTGCTGTTGATGTACCATCTCCTCTGTTGAACACCTGTGGAAATCATGTAGCTCTTGAACCAGGAAAATGGCATCCAAACTAACATGGCAAAGGAATAGGCAGTCAATCGGTCAGTCAGTCATTCATTCACTCACTCCCCCTCCCACACCAACAGCTAGCATGCAGTCCTACCTGGAAAGCTTGGCTCCACCACAGGCAGACGAAAAACGTAATAGATGTAGGAAGCCAGCAGATGGTTGTGGCCATGCTGGTCCTGGTTGTTCTCCAGGCTCTTGTGGATCTGGTTCACCATCACTGCAATGGCTTCAAAGGCAGCGCGACCCAAGTTCACTGAAAGAATGACCAAGAGAAGCATGAATCTTTTTAACACAGACAAAGCCACAGAGACACTAAGCTATGGAAGAGGATCAGGATGAAAAACTTACTCATCTTGGGAATGCATGTTAGCCTGTGTAAGGTCTGAAAACTTCTGTTTCGCTTTCTATACCAGATGCATTTTTCAGGTTTGTCTTATCCCATTTATACATCAGTGTTTAAATGCATTCCTAAGATTTGCATACTCTTGAACACATGAACATTTGTGCACATTTCTGAAAGCAATTTTCTCTAACATGCACTTCTTGCAAGCATTTTCCCCTCATGTGCATTTTTGTATGCATTTCTGCACTGGAGAGGTGCATTGCAAAATTCAAAGATGTATGAAACTCAAAGCATACTTGCATTTTGGTTTAAGATCTGCACAAGATTGGTTTGTATTAAAAGGTGAACAAAAAGAATTTTTCCCCCTCTTCCTCATACATTTGTGGGAGCGTATCTAAGCAATAAAGAGAAACCATACCCTGGTTCTCTCTGCAAGGCAAAGTACTTTATGCTTTAGTTTCTTGCTGTGCTTTGGGGTTCTACTCACAGCAACCTTTTCTGAAGCCAACCCATTTTCATTCCCTTGAGCTCATGCCATCAAATATAACTCAACTACCTATCTTAAAACAAGGAAGTTATTTTCCTCTGGAGTATCCTGCTTCTAAAGTCTAGCTTACTTCCAGCACAATCTTATCACCCACCCAGAGGCTAATGGTCATACTATGCCCCAAAAGAGCCACAGCAGGAAGCTTTGCTGCACCTTGCACCCTGCTTTTTATCTACACAGCCATTTTCAGGGAAGAGTGGAGTGCCAATAAAGAGTAATTAAAGCTTTAGCCCCAGCCTCCTCTGCTCCCTGCCTACAGAATGCTCCTGAGATGCCCTTGTGAGCTTGGGGAGATTCCAAGTATGGTACTTTCTGCACCAGATGCGAGTGAAGTGAATCGGGGGTTCCTTGGATCTTTAGGACCCTCAGCAGGATCTCAAAGCTGACTCCAAATAATCCTATGGGTCCCCAGACAGCATTGGGAGGCATTAAGATTGCACCCTTAGTAGTTTTATCTGCCTTTTCAAACAGCATTCATCTGGCCACCTTGCAAGTATTCACCCCAGCATGCTCTGTGCACACTGCTCCAGCTGACAAGTCCGAAGGTGCCCAGGAGCTGAGTGACTCTGTGTTCATCAGCAGCAGCAGGTGGGGCACGCTGGGGAGAGTTTGCTGGCTCAAGTACAGGAGGCTCAGCACTCCGATTCCAAGAAGGAAGGCGGGGCCAGGGGGATTGCACGGAAGGGATTCTGGGCAGGAGAAACAGGGAAGAAAGGGATGAGCCACCCCAGAGGAGCAGTCATTGTGGTTGGGTTGTGACTGGAGAAGGAGCTGCCTGTGACCTGGGCCGCGATCTCTGCCCATAAAACATTGTTTTTCACAAATATATTGTGAACACTTTAATGATTTGCAAATCTAATTCCTTGTGTGGAATTCCAGGTTCCAAGGGGTGGCATAGAAATGTAATAATAATAATAATAATAATAATAATAATAATAATAATAATAATAATAATGTCCTCATGCAACCCTTGAGGTATGAAAAGGGACCAACCTGTTTTAGTGTGAAATACATCAACCCTTTTGCTAACTTCTTCCAACATACTTAGGCTGCTATTACTTCTTAATCATTTACACTTACTCTACAATAACTTACTTCTAGCATGCTAGATGCTTTTATTGCTAATAAGTGACCTTCTAACCTTTGCTGGCTTCACCAGAAGGCATGCTAATGCCCAAGGCTGCAATCCTACATGAAACCCCCACTGAACTCATTGGGACTTACTCCCAAATGTACATCTATACTGGGGCACATTTCTGGAAAACAGAACCTGTCATGTCTTATCGTATAAGACTAAAAGTAAATTATGTTAAAATTATGACTCACTGGTATCTTACTGTATTACAAATAGCATATTTATGACACAAATTCAGAGAAATGTTAATATAAGTTATAAAATGTTGGTTGATATATAGGATTTTCAGCAATAAAAGAACTATATTAATATCAGTTAAAGAAATTGTAACACTTCATCCAAAATTATTTGTATGGGGAGAAACAAAGACCTCATTCATAAGGGAAAATCTTACGCTGGGTTGAAATGTGGCAGCTGCCTTAGAAATCACAACACTGGAAAAGTAACAAACAGCTGTCAGTTAGAAGAAAGTTTAGGCTATTTCAGATTTGAAATTAACACATTATAGCTGCCTTTCAGTTTTATCTTAAGAAAGCATTTATTTCCAGAACTGTTCTCCTTTTATCTTATTTTGGAAATCCAGGTAGAATTATTTATTAGTGTTTTGCATGTATTACATTTTTAAGTAATACACATTGTTTAACAAGATATACCTATAGACCTAGATCCAAAATCAGATGCTGAAAACAAGGGTCTTTTATGTCCCCTTTTCGGCTGCAGGTTGACCTGTTCCACACACATACCCTTCCATGTCTCTTCCTTCTCACACCATATTTACTAACTCATATTCTGACCCTACAGAGAGAGGTATAGAACAGAGAACCTGGCTGCCTTTCTTCATGCTTCTTTGCAACCTGTAAGAATACTGGGATTTAAGGTTTTGAAGAAACCTTGTGTAACAGCCAAACAAAACAACTCAACAAAAGGGAATGAAGGGTAAAATTAGCGTGGCTGTAACACAGAGGACAAGACAGAAGAGCAGCAGCAACAGCACTTACCAATCTGCCCAGCGATGACAGGCGGGTACACAATGAGTTGGATGAGCTTGTTGAGAATCTGGTGACTGAAGGCAACCAGGGGCTCTAGGCTGGCCACCCGTAGGTTGCCCACACTTGATTTCAGCTCAGACTCTATGTTGTTCTCTGTCAGGATCACATCTTTGAGTCGAAAGGGAAAGCTGTATTCTTCCAGCACATGGATCAAGGTGAAGAACCTGTCCAGGAATGGGTCCTGCCAGGACAAAGGATGAGCTGTCCATGGTTGTCACCCAGCCAAGGAGCAACCAAGCTCTTTCAGTCAAGGGCGAAATACCAAAAGGAGCAAAAAAGGTAGGGCTAAAGCAATAGAAAAACCAGCCTTTCGCATCTTAAAACTCTTAACTGTCAGAAATTGAGCCTTAGGAGAGGCAATGCAACCTTTTAGAATGGGAGAAATTGCACAAAAACTGGGAAAATGCTAAACAGTCACTGATCAAGAAAAGGGGGCCTGACTGGAACACAAGAGGGCCAAATTTGACCCCCAAACATGGTTCTGTACCCATTTTAAGTGCTCATTTTCTCATTTGAACAGCCAGCTGAGCTGAGCACACGGAAAGACAGATCAGACATTAAGGGGAAGAACAGGGTCAGCTCTTACATTCTTTTGTGGGATATTGAAAAATTCCCATAAGGAGAATCTGAAGACTTTCAAATTGAGCACAATCAGTAGTTGGTCTGGCTCAGTACTCTGGGTCCCACAGAGGAGGATAGTTCAAAAGTATGGTCTTCCATCAGGCCTGATTTTGATATAGGCCTGATTTTTGATACAGATTTTGATAGCAGAATAATCAGGAATATCAACTGGATATTTTTTTGATTTCACAGGTTGCAATAGGAGTGGTCAGATTTGCAGCTTAGAAAAATAACTGATTGTGTAGGTGTAAATGGCGTTTGCACCAGCATAATGCCTAGAAGATGAGCCAAGGGTCTTCTTCAGGCTTTAACTAACTTGGGAAAGAATGACTGATGCAGAAGCAAAGCCTCCAAAAGAGATGCAACTTCAGGGATTGCACACCATTTCTGGACTGCATTCAGGTTCTTGCAACATTTGTTGCTGCTGTTTAACGAAGTCGTGTCCGACCTATCGTGACCCCATGGATAACACTCCTCCATGCTCTCCTGTCCTCCACCAACCCTTGGAGTCCACTTAAGCTCACACCGACTGCTTCAGACAATCTAGCCACCTCAACCTCTGCCACCCCCTTCTTCTTTTCCCATCAATTGTTCCCAGCATTAGGCTCTTCTCCAGTGAGTCCTTTCTTCTCATTAGGTGGCTAAAGTATTTGAGTTTCATCTCCAGCATCTGGCCTTCTAAAGAGCAGTCAGGGTTGATCTCCTCTAGGACTGACTGGATTGATCTCCTTGCAGTTCAAGGGACTCGCAGGAGTCTTCTCCAGCACCACAATTCAAAGGCCTCAGTTCTTCGGCACTCAGCCTTCCTTATGGTCCAACTTTCACAGCCATACATTGCGACTGGAAAACCATAGCCTTGACTATATAAACTTTTTTTGGCAGGGTGATGTCTCTGCTTTTTAGTATGCTGTCTAGATTTGCCATAGCTTTCCTCTCAAGGAGCAAGCGTCTTTTAATTTCTTTGCTGCAATCACCGTCTACAGTGATCTTGGAGCCCAGGAAAGTAAATTCTGTCACTACCTCCATTTCTTCCCCATCTATTTGCCAGGAAGTGATAGGACCAGATGCCATGATCTTAGTTTTCTTAATGTTGAGTTTCAAGCCCACTTTTGCACTCTCCTCTTTCACTTGCATCAAGAGGCTCTTTAGTTCCTCTTCACCTTCTAACATTGGAGTGGTATCATCTGCATATCTGAGGTTGTTGATATTTCTCCAGGCAATCTTAATTCCAATTTGTGATTCATCTAGCCCCGCCTTTTGCATGATGTGCTCTGCATATAAATTAAATAGGCAGGGCAACAATATTTTATTTTATTTATTTATTAAAACATTTTTATGCCGCCCCATTCACCGAAGCCTCGGGCCGGCTTACAATATACAACCTTACCATACTCCTTTCTTAATTTTGAACCAATCAGTGGTTCCATGTCCAGTTCTCACTGCTGCTTCTTGACCCAAATACAGGTTTCTCAAGAGACAAAGATGGTCTGGGACCTCCTATCTCTAAGAACTTGCCACAATTTGATCCACACAATCAAAGGCTTTAGCATAGTCAATGAAGCAGAAGCAGATTTTTTTCTGGAACTCCCTAGCTTTCTCCATGATCCAGCGTATGTTGGCAATTTGATCTCTAGTTTCCCTGCCTCTTTGAAACCCTGCCTGTACTGCTGGTAGTTCTCGGTCCACATACTGCTGGAGCCTAGCTTGTAGGATTTTGAGTATAACTTTGCTAGCATGTGAAATGAGTGCAATTCTTTCAACATAGAATCATAGAATAGTAGAATTGGAAGGGCCCATGAAGGCCATTAGGCCCAATCCCCTGCTGTTGCAGGACACCAGTTTACACCATCCCACTCAGATGCCTGTCCAGTTTCACCTTGAATGTCTCTCTAAGCAGCTCGTTCCATTGTCATATTGCTCTGACAGTAAGGAAGCTTTTTCTCGTATCTAGCCTGAATCTTGGTGGTCACAGCTTGAATTGATTATTCCGTGCCCTACACTCTGGTATCAGTGAGAAGAGATCCTGACCTTCCTCTTCGTGAGAGCCTTTGAGGTACTTACAGAGGGATATCATGTCCCCCCTCAGTCTTCTCTTCTCAAGGCTGAACATGCCCAGTTCTCTCAGTCTCTCCTCAAAGGGCAGTGTTTCAAAACCCTGGATCATTTTTGTTGCCCTCCTCTGGACCCTTTCTAATTTACCTGCATCTTTCTTAAATCTCATTGCCCAAAACTGGACACAGTATTCCAGATGAGGTCTGATGAGTGAGGAGTATAGGGGAACTACTACTTCTTGTGATTTGGAAGTAATACTTCTGTTGATACATCCCAAAATGGCATTTACCCTCTTGGCGACTGCATTGTTGGCTCAAAACATGCAAGTGCCACCATACCCAGGGCCACTTCCTCTTCCTCCTACCTGAGTGTGGACAGAAGAGACGGCCAGCACCTCCACACTGAAGACGCCCTTGTGGCTATCCACCCACTTCATGCCGGGCAGCTGCACCTTCAGAGAAGCAATACAAAAAAATGCACTGTCACCAATGTTACTACCGGTACCAGACATGAACAGCTTTTATGTCTGTGCTGCTTAATGTTTGTAGCACATTATTTTCTTGAGTATTTGCAATACCGTATAGTATACTTTTTAATGGCTCCATGGCATGCTTGGCCTGTCAAAGCTTGGCATCAGATGGAGGTGTGAATGTCACCTGTGAGCAGCTTCACAGCTTTGTCCCATGACCACGCTCACTGTGAGATCACTGCTTTCTTTAAAAAGGAAAGCAGCAGGGAGCAGCATCCACGATTCCTGGCCATAGAATTTCTGGCCATGGTTTCTACATAAAATGCAAGGAATTTATAGAAAGTAAGTCTGACAGAAAGAGAGACTGCAAGCACACGGAAAGAGCCCAAACCCATTTCAGAGGAGTATGGATTACTGTGTGTGCAAGTTTAGTAAGACAGCCAATACATCCCAACAGTGTCATAGAATAACAAGTGCCTTCTAAGTGTTGCTATACCATCTCAGGATGGTGTACAAGAAAATTAAAAGAACATTAGAACTAGGTGAACAGTACTTAATTACACACACACACAAGGGGATGCCAAAAAAATTTTATACATATTTTAAGAAAGAAAAAACTGTATTGAAAACTCTTGCATGGTGACACTAGCATTAATTTGATTAGCACCACCCTTTCAGCAAATGTCATACTACAGATTGTTACCGTATTTCAATTCAACTATGTGCATGCATACACACTAACAATTAAAAAAACTGGGAAAATTAAAAGGTTTTAGCCTGGCACCGGAATGAAGAAAGAGTCGGTGCCAGGCAAACCTCCCTCAGGAGCATATCACTGCAAAGGCCCTTCCTGAGTAACAGCCCTCCTTACTTGAAGGGCTCTCAGAGAAGGACTTCCACCAATGATCTCATGGTCCAGGCAGGTGTATATGGAAGGAGATGTTCCTTTAGATACCAGACCCTAAACCGTCTCGTTGTCAGCACTTTAAATAAGGCCTGAACTTTAACTGGTAGCCAGTGACAATGGTACAGGACTAGCATTATAAGTTCATGTCTGCCTGTACTAGTCCATAACCTGCCAGCTCTATTTTGCACCAACTGAAGTGTCCTTTTGTGCGGAAGTATCCTCATAAATATATCTCCTACAGGAATCCAAATATCCCCGACAAGTATCTACCTGGAGTAGCCATTTGCGGGGAACTGAGAGTTTGTCCCATACGCAGAACAGCCTCAGCCAGTTTGGGGATGCTGACTGGCCAGCTCCAGCAATTCAGGTGATCAGGATGGCTGTAAAAAGCACTATCTGAATTATAGCTGCCACTTACATCAGGGGTGAGTACAGAGTAGCTGGGTGGCGGCTTGTCAATTGATACAGGAAGGCAAAACTGGCCTGTTCTCAACCGCCCATGTTGCATGAGGGGGATCCACTAGAGAGAAAGAGAGAGAGAGATCAGCCAGAATGAAGAGCCGAAGGATGATCATATGGCTCCATTGCAGCAGTACAGCCTCCCACCCTGCCCCAAACAGTTTACTGGACAAGGAAGAGAGAAATCAGATACTGCCCACAGAGGAGAACTTCTAGTATTATTTATTCAGCTTTCTGTCTTCAATATTCAAGGTGACTACAGAGTGCAAAAGTGATTTAACCATCCCTCATAGCAGCTGGAAAGGGATACTAAGAAAGGCAAATTGGACGGATGAACTGGATAAAGAACCCATGGGCATCCAGCAGTAGTTTGACTCCAATTCCATAATTCCTTACTGTTAACCAGGTGAGCTGGGGATAATGGGTGGGCTGGGGTTGACGGATGGGATGAAAGTCCATCATCTGGAGAATGACAGCTTCCCCAACCTATACAAGCCATGGTGGAGTGCAGTGTGGGCTGACAGCCATTCTGAATATACACACTGAAGTGGGCAGTCTCCATGGCTTACTGTACCATCCAAACTCAGCAAGGATAGGTTGTTAGCATGATTAACAAGCCACCACAACAGCCCATGGGTGTTTTACAGCAACACCAACAACACATCCTCACCAGGTTCGGATGATACAACACCCTGTGGTGTCTGCCCATTATGGCTTCAGTACTCAAAATGACCATCAGCATGTGCTGCGACTCACTGTGATGGAACTAAGCCATGGTGGCCTCTGTTGATCATGCAAACCGGGCACAATGTCATCCAGCCCAGGACTATCTAAGCCAAGTAGCAGTTCTGTTCCACAGTCTTACGACAGTCCTTCCCAGTCCTGTTATCACATATCTGATGTCATACAAGACACTGGCATTTCCAGCTGGGCTCATTTGCATGTAAAGCAGCATGTGCTCTGCGCTTCCAAGTACTTGATTGCCACCAATTCTGTGCATGCTCACTGTGTAGCCAACAGGGGTTTCCAGAGGTGTGTTCTGCTTCTGCTGACAGCTGATATGGTAAAAGGTGAACAGCAGGTGGTGGTTGTCTGTCAGATTGGCTGGGATCTTCAGCTTGAACTCCTCATAAAACTCAGGGGACCTGTGGATAGGCAAAAGATGCTGCAATAGTCTGCAAAATCCCCAGCATCCCACAGATATTCAAACATATCACATAAAATAAAGCATCACATTAATTCTAACTTTTAGGAGACAACAAGAATCAGAACCTCTCTCTCTCTCTCTCTCTCTCTCACACACACACACACACAATCAATTAATTGCTGTGAGGGAGACAGAAGTATTAACTTCATGCACATACACCCACATGTGATCAGAATCAGGGCAGAAATTAAAGCTTCTATGCACTTGTTCAGGATTGGTATAGAAAACTGGGTCATCTCTATTTCCCTGAAGAATCAGCCGAAGACAGCAGCATGGGGAAGAACAGCTGACCACACAGCCAGCCTCCAAGGAGCACACATGGCTTGTGGGTTGCCCACCCCTGCAGGAGGGAAACTGCAAGAGAGATCACAGCCCACTTTCTGTGCAGCAGACCTTGTTCCAGGAAACTCTGGACCAGCTGTGCATGCTTTGCAGCAACCATCTTGTGTCATCACTCTCATTGCTAAAGACTCACTTGTTATGATACACAACAGCTGTGTAGGCCTCTTTTGCAAATTCACTGCAACTTGATTTTCCAAAGATGACCTGGGGCATTAGGAAGGACAGAAACGGCATTGGTCAGAGACAGGGAGAATCAAGTCCAGCTGTCCAGAGGGGGAGAGAGACCAAAGAAATGCCAGTGAAAGGGCACCTGGAAAGGCTACACAATTATCAATACTTGCCTACAAATACTTCCAGCAATGCCTTGTATTTCTGCACTAGCACTGTCCTCTTAGGGAAGGGAGAAGAGACCCCTGCCTGATCTGTGACTTTCCCTTTCCCACCTTAACTATGATTAATGTTTAGATTATCAATTCAGTGCGTACTAATTCCCACCCTGTGTACCACCAGCAAAAACCACAACTCTTCTTTGTAGGTTAACTGTTCAGATGCCACTGATAGCTTTTATAAGCTTCCCTACTCCACCACTTTCTTCCCAAAGCAAGCAAAACCAGTAAACTGCACCTTCCCCCTTTAGGAGACATGAACAAATAGTACTGAAAATTATACTGCACGTTTCATAATCTTCTGGACAGAACTCTAGACTGACTTGGGATTTGTTACAAAGCCACAGGTGAGTGGTTACTTCTCAGCCTCAGTTCTGAAGAAACAGAGTGGGGGCCAACCTCAGAAGGATGCTGTGAACCGGGGGAAGCTGAAGGAGGGTCCTGAGGGCAGAAAGTATGTAATTGAAGCCCACAGGATCCAAAGTAACATGAAGCCCATGTTCTTTGATGCCTCTTCTGTGCTCAGTTCACACTGTGTTCTTCTTTTCTTACCTGAAGCTGTTCTGGGTCCATGTTTCATTTCTCTTGCTATTGGATGGAGTGTAGGGCAGTGGCAGGGAATATTAGAGGGGACCATATCTACGGATTGCCTGGAAACAGCACCCTAAATCATTTCCCCTTCCACACCCAGATGAAGCTGTGCCTCCCAAGGATTCCCTGCTGCTCCACAATTCCTATGAAGCCTCAGAAAACCTGAGGAAACCGCCAACAGTTTGCCTCACTCACCGGCATGGTGTGGCCAAGGTCCTCTCCAGCCATGAACTGCAGCTTCACAGCAATGTTCCGCACTGACCCCTGACGGCTGCTGAAGTTCAGACTTTGAGGATAAACATAGAGCAAGTTCCTGCAAGAGAAGGAAAACCTTGGCAGGTGCTGGGGGTAGGGAGTCATGCCTGAGGAACAGTGTGCCTGAGGGGATGGGAAGAATGTTTTCTCGCCTGCTGTGGAAGACAGTCAGTGACATAAAGAGAAAGAGGGGATTCTTTCCACCAGGGAGAATCAGCTGTATAAAGCTGCCTTTCAGAGCTGAGGATCATGCAGACTTTGAAAAACTCCTGACTGCATTCTGAAGCTATCAGATTGGGGGTGGAGAGAGGGAGTTAAAATCAAGAATTCCTCTCCAGCTCAGGTTTTATATCAAACCAGAGAAGAATGGGGTTGCATAACACTGGCCTCCTCTCCGAGATGATCCCCCTTCCCCAACAAATTTTGCATCCAGGCCAGAGTAAGGCAAGCTGCACCAGCATCTCTTCTCAGCTGTGAGTGCTGTTGCAGCTACTGCTGCACATCTTGATCATGGTCCCACAGGTGAGATCACACACCATGATTCATGACACAGTATCCCTGGTCAGGCCTCTCAGAAGCCTATGCACTGCCACTTGGAACCTCAGCAGCAGGATTCTCATTGCTCTGAAAAATCAAGGCAGATCCCAACCCATTTAATCTCATAAGCTTGTTTTCGGCTTATCCAAATCTCTTTTAAGACCCTGTCTGCTTTAACAACATGAGCAGCAGGGGCCGCAGGGCAAGGATTACAGCTGTTGTTGCTCAGCACATCAGTGTTGCTAGGCACATGTTTGATGCCAAGACTTCCCCACTGCTAGCTCCTCCTGGCTCTGATAACCATCCTGCCTGGGTTAAAGAGATCACCACACTGCTCTTCCTGGAAAACAGATGGCCCATACAGAAGGCACTGGTCAGTGCTGCAGCAAGTCTCTGTTCCTCTCTTCATAGGCTGTTGCAAGGCCCTGATAAGCACAATTAGAAAAACACATCGGCATGGCACTTAAGACCCTTTGAAGAGGGCCTGCCTTCCACATGGAAAGGCAAAAATGGGGTTTCAGGAGGTTGGTATAGGGAGAGAAAGTCCAGAGTATGCAATGAAGGGGTCAGAGGTGAGAATTCTCTAGGGTTTTGCACTGGGATTAAAGGAGTCTGAAGAATCAGAAACCACCAGCAAGAAAGAGAGGAACACACCCCAGTTTGGGAGCACCTCCTCTGTAAACTAGAATTTTTTCTGCCCTAGGGATACATGAGAATCTTGCCATCTGGCCCCTGCTGGAAGCAACTCAGGAGCAAGAACAGCAAATAGCTCAGCAGACAGAACAGCTGCTCTGGCTCCCAGAACAGGCAAGGCAAGAGGGCTGAAGTGCCCCTTGGGGAGGTTCTTAAACACAGATCAATCACCTATCAGATGAGAGGGGGGCAGCCAGAGGCCCTGGCTCAAGCCTGCTGTGGGCTGGGATAAGGGCCCTTCTCCCAGGAATGCGGAGGACCACCTGCAGCTACATCCTTTGTTTCTGCCACTTCAAAACACACAGAGGACATCAGTAGCACAGAATCACAAGGAAGGGGCAGAGCTAAGGCAGGAAACTTCAACACAATAAGGCCACGAAATGGAGCAACTTTAACCTTTGTTGACCAGGAAAACAGCTTTAAGCCTGTACCAACCTATAAGTTGTATGAGGTGTGTAGACCTCCCTGACTGGGAACTCAAGGATCTCCTTGGTAGGCCGGACACGGAGGTCAGGGTAGGGATGGACATGCAACAGTTCAGGAGACAGGCAGTAAAGGGGGCTCTCTGGCACCGGTGAAATGTCAATCTTGAGTTGGGCTGTATTTCAGAAAAAAAAGAAGGTATTGCACACAGAATGTACAATGTCCAGACAGGCATAAACCATTAAGCATAGGTAGTTGAGGAGTGGGGAGTTGTGGAACCCCTGTGTGAGATCCTGGGGGTAGAAGGGGAGACACAAAGAGAAAGACACTTCCTCTTCCAAATCAGGGAAGAGACCTTCCAGATTTTGGTCCTCCCATTTAACCTCTCTACTGCCCCCAACTCTTCATCAAATGCATGGCAGTGGTCTGCGCCCACCTCAGTCTGCAAGGAGTCCAGGTCTATCCATACCATGACGACTGGCTCCTGGTGCCCACCCCCCCACCCCCAGGACTGAGGCTCCTACACCAAAGTACACACCACCTGTGCATTTCTGCAGGAACTTGGATTTCTAATCAATCATGAAAAATCTGTTTTCTTCCCCTCCCAGTCCCATTCATAGGAACCTGCCTGGACTTGACAATGGCCGAAGTGTTCCTGCCAGACCAAAAAGCACCTGCTCTCCAAGACCTAAAAATAGAGATCAGGGACCACTGGGACTCATGATTGTCATGGTATCCACAGTCAGATTTGCCTGCCTTTGCATGCGACTGTTCCAGCTGTGGTTCATTCAGGCCTACACCAAGGAAAGCTAGGTAGGGAAAAAAATTGAGAAGACTCACTCTTTCAGGATAGAGTGAAAAAATGGGTTTAGTTGAGAAGCACTGGGTGATAGCAGGTGAAGGCAGCAAAAGAATACAGTATATTTAGTGAAAGCTGAGCAAGAGCAAAGGATTCCCAGTCTACTCAATGGAGGTCAAAAAGGAACTGAGGGACTGGGCAGGAGTTCCTCCTCTCACATACATGGGGACCAGAAGGGGAGGGACTCCCACTCTGACACGCTGAGCTACTGAAGTTTTTTTTCCTGCTCTAGACTTTGCACACACAGAAAGAAGCCCATATTTGTGATGCACAATGGGCATGAAGAACTGTTGTTTCTTTTCTCTCTAGTCTCAGAAAACACATGCACTCACACCTATGCATGCTTGTACACACACAACCATTCTATGTTCCTGACCAAGTATCTGCCTACACAAGCCGACACAAAAGAAATGCTTTACTCTTTGTGGATGATGCAGGAGTGGCTGTTGGTCTTACTGCCACAGACTAACATGGCTGCTCCTTCAAATTTCCCACTTCACAGCAAGAAGCAATGCCACTGAACTGGATGAGATTGGAATATGGGTGCCCATCTTACCTGTAACAGGACGGAGCCTCCTAAGTACAGACGACGGCCGCCTCATATCTGCCAGAAACTTGTACAGGTCCTCATCACTGAGGCGATCACCTTCCTGAAAAAGAGGATGTGGGGAAAAGGGGAAAGAAGGGAAAGAGAGAAAGTGATTGACCTAGAGTCAGAGAGTGGTAACCACAGACCCTGGGAACAAAGACCTCTGTGAGTGCCTCAGCAGGTGCAGCATTACACCTCAGTACCCTGCCTGCCCTTGTAAAGCCCTGAAGCCTCATTTCCATGGCAGCCGGGCATGCTAGGCTCAAAGATCTCCTTATATCTACCAAACGGAGTCCCAGCTGATGGCACAGAACTCTAGCTCTGAAAGACCAAAAGAGAAAGCAGGACACTTTAGGAAATACAACTTTTGGAAGATATAGAAGGGCATGTGATTTTTTCCCCACCTTACAAGGCAGATCAAATGCTGTGTTTTGGACAAGAAAGGATCCCCCCCTCCCCCGGAGGAGCTCCTGGAGGATTTCTATTTCCTTTCTTGCCTGAAGCTTGGCTTTTCTTGCTAGAGTTATTGCTGTATGTTTTACACGCACATGTCTATGGCATACTGGCTACTCTGTGGCCTGGATAGACTTTCACTGCTTCCAAAATTCTAATTCTAGTCTGAGTCTGAGTCAGATGGCCATAACCAAGATGGAAGAGAGTTACCATGAATTAAACTTACTTTTGAAAAGCATGTGCTAGTTTGGGTTTTCTGACAGTGGGCCCAGATGGAGAGAAGCTAGCATTCCTTGAAAAAACATTCCAGCAACCAAGCAGATGCTACTTCAGTCAAAACTAAAAGGAATCTGAGTGCCTATTCTGCTCAGTAGATACACCAGTGAGATAGTTCACGGTAGCATTTTAAGAACATTTTAACTTCCAGCCAAAAACATATTGTTAAGGCTGACACGTACAGGTTGTTAATATGCACCTATGCTGCTTCTAGTCAAATCCATGGACTGCAAGCTGATTATGCCAAACCACTGAAGTTTTGTTGGAACATACACATTCCGAACACCCACTGAAAACTCTGGTGCAAAGAGCTTTGGAATCTCACAGCTAGGGAGAAAGGCCCTATAGGCTTTCTGCTGGGGGACTCCACCCAGCAATTTGGGAATGGACTGGAGACCAGCATTCAGCTTTAGACCATACCCCTCTCCTAAATAAGTATACCAGCATTGGGGCTGGGGGTGGGAAAGGACAGGAGGAAGAATTACAGCTTCACCCTGGGTTCCTTGAAAGAGGAAAAAAGATGGGATATAAATGCAGTGTAATAATACTGACAACTCTCTGCTCCTACAGTTGCATTCTTAAGGACAGCTGTCCTCCTTCCATCTTTGAAAGAGTAAAACTAGAAGAGAAGGATGTTATGGTTCAGTTTAACCCATCACATGTCCCTAGCCTCTCACCTGCTTGAAGAAGTTGGTGACTGTGAGGGTAGCTGGGCGGAAGTTGCTGAAGCCGCACATTTCTTCTCCAACACTCATACGCTCATACGCTTTTCTCTTGCGCTCATTCCAGGTGCCTTTGCGATCTAGAAATGAGGAAGATGTGTTCACTAGGAGAGGCATGGGTGCACAGACACACACACTCAGGGGTTATATTCAGGGACTATGAAAAGGGTTGGACTCCACCAACGGTCCTGGTGAAATCTACTCTAGGATGCTGAAAGAGTTAAAAGGATCTTTGAGCGTACTATTTATTATCTTTGAAAAATCCTAGAGAAAAGTGAAGTACCAGAACATTGGAGGAAACAGATAAAGAAACTGACAAGGTCAGACTGCATATAGAGTAATTTGCACAGATTTGTCAGGGAGCAACTGAAAAGCACCAGTAAAGGGAGAAAGTGGCAAAAGAAAGGGCACCAAAATGGTGGGAAAATACTATATTTCCCATAGCAATATAATTATCTTGTTTGCAACTGCTGAACTGACAGCAGAGAGGATCTCTATCGTTTCAACACTTTCCCAAGTCTCCAGCTACTGAGCATCCTGATACTTTTGCAAAAGATGGAATAAAATGCTCCAGAATGAATGAATGAATAAACAAACACATACACACACACTTCGAAAAAGATATTAACTCTCCTTGCTTTTTGCAGCTCTCTCAGAACATTCTTGCTGTAGATGTGCAAATTTCCCCTCCATTTTTCCCTCAAACCTTAAATTGAGGGAATGAGTTAGAACTAACAGGGAGGCAAAGTAACTATAGCAGTAAAGGAGCCATGAAAAAAGGGAAGGTGTGGCGAGAGAAGACAACTAAAAATACAGAAGTCACTGTCTTCAAACAAAGGGGGAAAAGGATGATCTAGGGAATTCTAGACCAGTCACTCTGACATCAGCATGCAAATTATAAAGCACACAGTTAAGACACCTTGGCATGAATGCAGTGATTACCCAAAAACAGCTTGGATTTTTTAAGAACAAGTCCTGACAGACTCGTCTTACTTTATTTGTCAATCACTTAACTTCCTTAGATCTTGAAAGTGTTATGGATGTAATTTATCTTGACTTCAGCTTGGCATATGACAAAGTGCCCTATGATACCCTGATCAACAAGCTAGTTAAGAGTTAGCCAAACAGCACTATTATTAGGTGGATGGACAGCTGGCTGGAGAACAGTATCGAAGTGTTCCTCAACCAGTAGAGGGCAGTATCAAGTGGGGTACTGAAGGACTCACAGCTAGGCTCTGTCCTCCACAACATCTTTTTTATGACTTGGAGGAGGAGGTGGAAGAAATGCTTATTAAAATTTAAAGTAACACAGCACTTAGTGGAATAATTCATATAAAAGCAATAGGTTAGAAATCTCAACAGGTTAGAGAAGAAAACAGCATGAGATTCAAAGACAAGTGTAAAGTTCATCATTTAAAAAAAAGAAATAAAATAGACAGGTATAAGGTGGGAGATACCTTGCTTCACAACATTATGTGTGAAGGGATTTTGCTGTTCCAATCTCCTCTGCACTGATCATACCTCACCCTGAATATGGTGTCCAGTTCTCAACAAAACACTTTAAGATGGTTTAAGAAAAACAGGAATGAGGAAAAGCATCATAGAGGATTAAGGGACTAGAAACCAAACCCTATGAGGAAAGGCTGAAGGAACTGGGAATGTTTAAGCCTTGAGACAGGAAAGAGGGACGTGACAGCACTTTTCAAGTGCCCAAATGGCTGCAAACACTATCTTCCAACACTGTAGGACACAAACTAACAGGCTTTAATTGCAGAAAGGGAAATTTTGACTGAATTTCAGGAAAAGTTTCCTAATAGTCAGAGCAGTCAGACCATGGCATCACCTGGCTAGGGAGGTGGTGGGCTCTCAGTTGCTGGATGTGTTCAAGCAAAGACTGGAAGTCGTCTCCCAGGGATGCTTTAAAGTAGACTGCAGCACTGAGCCGGAGGTCAGACATGATGGCCAAACAGTCCATTGCAGCTGTATGAGTCTATAACACAGAAGCTGCAGCTGCCTTTGGCTCAGTCTCCACTGCGAAGGACATCACTCAGCATCTCCATATGGCGAGGCTTAGGTTGTGTAAATATGACTGCAAAACTGTGTTGGTGTTACTGCTAATCTACTGTGGGCCAGCTTCAAATCACTTATTTGCTGATGCGCAGCTGAGTGGGGATGTGGGGTGGGGGTGAACCCCAGAGTACTTACTTATATTGGCACAGCAGTACACTTACCACTCTCAGAGTCTGAAGCATCCCTCTCAAGCATACCAGTACTGTTGATTATATTCATGAGGTGGATGGCAGTCCAGGCAAATGGCATGCGGTACCGGCCCAGGCGGGTGCAGATTTGCTCTCCTGCCAGCCGCAGCTTCTCCAGCTTCTCCTTGTTCTGGAAGCCCAAGGAGAAAATATCATCACTGAAACAGAATGTAATTGTTCATCCTTTACCTGTTTCTGCCGTAATTCAATTCTGCAAGGCAGACGGTGAGGATGGTGAGAGGAATAACTCACTCCAGGTCACCCAGGGAATTAACAGATGAGTCCAATGCCCTGAGACCATACACACTTCTACATCCAACTCCATCTACCTTCAGAGCATCTGTTTCTTTCATGACCATGTACGGCTCACAGCACTCACTGATGTCCCCTTGCTGTAGCACTTTCTCCAGCTGTGTAGGGAGAGGGAAAGCAGGTTACTGAGGAGGAAATCTAAAAAGTGGCCTGAAGTTCCTGAGAAGAACATCAAGACTGTGGTGAGCTCTGTCTCAAGTTCTGTCTTTGCTCTGTCAGGAATGGCCAGAATGTAAGAACCGGGGCCTGCAAAGAAGAGCCCTACACTCAGAGCTAAGCTTACTCAGCATTATCAGAAACTCAGCCAAGAAAAGCCCAAATGTGCCCTTTTAAAACATAATGGGCAGTGCCGTCCAACAATGCTGCCCATAATCCTCCAAACTCAGAGTGGCATGGCCATCCTGTGCATGGCAGGACATACACAGAGGTGAAGGTTGCCTCCAAACAAAACTCAGGCAAGTTCAGCCATATAAGTGCTTGGCCTCAGAGCAAAAAGAGGCAGCTGAGCTGCTGCTAGGATACTGAATATGCAGACCAGCCTGCCTCCCCCAGCCTTGCCCCCTTCCCCACTCCCAAAAGCCTATCACCAAGGTCATGAGAGAGACCTTTCCTTCTGGGTGGGCTGTGATGTTGGTCTGAGGGAACCCCAAGTGCACCATTCCAATTGCAACCTCAGAGCAAGCTTCCAAGGTCAGAACTGGAATTCTGAATTATCCTATGGAAGTCCAGACTCTAACAAACAACCAGGGGACAAGTGCTTTTGCATGCTTGTTTATTTTGAGCAATTTATTCTGCTTCTGCTGGCCATCAGAAAGTGCAGGAGATGGGAAGAAGACTGAGGTCCCATCCTTCAAACTACTGGAAATTTCACCAATCCTTACTCTAGTTTCAGAGATTAGATGTTACCCAGACTATTTCAAAACTATCTTCATAGATGTAAGGGCTAGAAACTTGCCTTTTAAAAAGGACAGCTAAGATTCTCAAGATGCTGCATTTTACTACCTTTAAAATATTTTCCTTCACACATACAGAACATAGAGCACCCAACAGCATGTATTAGAACAGCTATGATGTGAGTAAATTCTAAAGTTCTATCTTGATCTCACCTTGATCACCAAAAATACATCTGGAGAAGGATGAGTGAGAGAAAAGATGGCTGAACGTGCCAGTGTGGAGATAGCAGGGTGGGCACTGTGAGCTCGCAGGAGGCCCTTCATGTGCTCTGAATTTAGGTCAAAGTAAAAGTTCTCAGAGATCTAGAAAAGTAAAGAAAGGGTAGCAGCCAGAAAAAGGTATTGCAGACTCTCGTGGCAATTCATCAGAGCAATAAAAACAATACAGCTAGCAACACCACAACAGCAAGAAAATGGACAAAGGAAGTCCGGAATGTCAGATCTCCAAGGCAAGGACTTGGAATCTTGGCCTGCAGGTGCCACCATCTCCACTACTCTAACAAGTAACTTGGACCTGCTCCTTCATTCAGCAGACACAAAGGACCTTCCCACTGGCTTCTGTCAGACCTCCTTGGTATCCTGCTGTGGTCTTCTGAAGTGTTTGCTATGCCCAAACTTAGTGAGCGTGGATAGAGGGAAACAGAATGGGAATACAGAGAACAAAAATGGCAGGGCATGCAGCCAGTTGGGTCTCTTCCTGTGGCCGAAGGCATCTTGTGCCCTTTGGCTGGGAAGAAATAGGTATTCTAAGGGAAAAAAAGATACCTATGTAGCCATTTCCAGTCATGCCTTGATTTACTCGTCCCCTTCTATTCTTTTTCTTTTAAACTCCTAACTAAAGGGGATAGTTGAGGTACAAAACTAGGTGAGCCTGACTATACCAACAGAAGCTAAAACACTATTTAGGCAAGAAGAAAACTCCTGCTCTCTTCAGAATGCTGGAAGTAGGTTCTGCTTCTCCTGAAGGTGAAAGACAGCTTTGATTCCAGGAGAAGAAACTAACCCACACTGAGTGGGCCCTGTGTATATGCTGCTAAGATATCTATCCACCTGACATAGACCAGAACAGTTCCAATCCAATCAGTGCTGCCATGTCAATTAAGCTAGCATACCACAAGGATTTTGACCATTTGTAAATCACTGGTAAGACCCCAAAGTCGTGCTGTGCTTCACTTTCTGCCCTTCTGGACCTTCTGAGTGAAGGATGCTACTTACACAGCACCGCTGTCTACTCCAGCAGGTTAACAAAAACAGGAGATACCTTTTTCTTCTCTTTCACATCATAGAGGGCCAGAGATCCAAATATGGGTTCAATCTCGATTTCAAACCTACTCCAGGAAAAAGTAAATAAGAGAGAGGCAGGAGTCATTAAGACCATTATTCAGAAAATGAAAATAACCACTCCTGCCTTAGCAATAGTCAAATGCCTGGTCTTGCTCCCGTAGAGATTTAGTAAAAAATTTGGAGCTCCCTCAAATGGAACCAAGGATACCACCACTTTTGCAAGCCCCCAGATCAGTTTTATCCTGCCCAAACCAAGCAGAAAGCAGGTGTCTTACAGAACAAATACAACAACCTTCTCCAGCCTGGTGCCCTCCAAATGCCTTGGCCTCTCCCTCTTCCTGGCCCAGACAACCTGTAAATGGCTGAAAATGATGGGTACTGATGCCCAGAGTATCTGGAGGATACCAGGGTGAGAAAAACTAATGTACAGTAACTCACAGAAACCAAGTAAAACAACATGCTCAAGCCTCTCTGGCTAAATGAAGTGAGAAGATCCTTTGTGATCTCAAATACTGGCAATTCAACAAGAACTTCTAAGGAAATTTGACTGGAGTGCAGTTTCACAGTATTCAACATCTTGTTTGCCATCATGATGGACTCTTATGCCCCAAGGAAAGACACAGACCTTCAAAGCAATGGCAGGTGGCTCGCTTGTAACTGTTACTCTTTGAATGGCCACCTGTGCATTCACACATGTGGGCTCTGTGCCTGCGTGGAATCTATCTTGAGGAAGTTTCTATAGCAGAGAAGGTTTTGGCGGGAACATTTCCCTGGAGGTTTCTGCCCATTTCCTTAGTTCCTTCAAGACCAATATTACGGCCTCAGGTTAAAAGGGAAGGAGAGGCCAGCCAGTTCTAACATTGCATGGTATGCAGTTGGTTGGTTTTGACCAATTTTTTTTTTTTTTTTTTGCTTTCCTATTATTTTAAGACTTAATTTAATTTTAGTCAGGCTTTTATCATAGATATTATGCTGTGCTGTTGTTGTTGGACCATCCTGAGACATTTATGAATAGGACAGGGTACAAAAGTTTTAAATAAATAAATTTATCACCAAATGACATCAAAGAGGGTGGGCCTTGAGAATGCACAGATTATCACTCAAAGAATGATAATCAGGTTACAGGTAAGCAACCTGCCTTTCTTCTTCATGGTCTCTGTACATCACATGTATGGGTGATTAGCACGCTTACCTTCCAAAAGGTGGATGAGCAGAGCTATCAAAGAACTGAAAAGAAAACCACTCTTTGAAGGTGCAGTTTGCCTTAGCAGAGATACTGAGCTTGTAAAAAGTAGATTGAGTAGATCAGGTAGATGCCTTACAAAGGTCTGATAGGGGTATTCCAGCATGAACAGAGAAAGCTGCCATCAACTTTTAACAGTCCCAAAAGGTGCAGCTGACAAGTTCACATGCCAAAGTGCCTGTCTGCAGCACTCAGGCAATGAACCTCAAGGAAGCTACAGGGAGCCCCCCCCTTTTTTTTTCTTTTTTTGCACTATAGCAAACCAAGAGGAATGATTTAGTTCTGGAATGAAAAAAATGCTAATATTCAACAGATGTCCTGTATGTGCAACATGGATTCCAATGGGGTAAAAGGAGAAGCAAAAAAGGCTGGCAATACAACATCGTGATTAACATGGAAGTATCACCTTAGGTAGAAAAGAGGTTTCTGGTTGTTACACTGCTCTATGAAAACTCAGGTATGGAGGAGCCACTCTCAGGATGCAAAGCCTACTGCAAAGGCAAGCTGAGGTAATCACTGCTAGAAATGCCATCTTCCATGATAGTACATGGATGTCAGTTGCCATGGGTTTGAACAGTTACTTTGTAAGAGCTTGCAGGATGACTTGAGACACTCCAGGTAGGAGTTAGCAAACAAGCTGGTGGGCCAATGGTAGAAAACTCATGGAGGAAACATCAAGACATGAGTGGAGGAAGATTTTGGAGGCTGATACATATGGAAACGCAGGAGACATTTGAAACTGGCTTTCCTGTGTGTCCTAGGAATATGGTTTTGAATGCGATGTCAGAGACTGTTCAGGTAATATGGCAGAGTTGTTTTATGGCAGCTGCAGCAAGAATTGCAGTTGCTTCTTGAGAGAAAACAGCAGAGTATCTGGTGGTTGAAGGCTGGAGAGGTAGATTGTCTGGGTGTGCAGTGATGACATGGTTGACTATGTGAGCAGTACACTGATTGAAGAATTTGATGATGGATGGGCATTCTATTATATGCAGTTTAATTGGTACAGAACCAAGGAAAGCTCATAGGGATATTGTTGATGATTTGAGAATGATTCAAGGTGATTGGAGTATTTGTTGGTTTGGAGAACTATGACTTTTTGCAAGCCACAGCAAAGTACCAATTGACAGAGGGATGAAAGTTTCTGACTTTTTCAGGAATTTGCAGGTTGTACATTCATATGTTGGGTCTGTGTGGGATCCCCTGGCATTTTTCTTTTTCTTTTGTGTTTTATTTCCTTTCTGTACTTTGCTTCTTTTAAGAAAACAATGGAAAATAAATTAAAAGACAGAGTGGGGAGATGTATGAACCTTAAATAGGGAGGGAGAATGCCAAAACTGATGCCAGCTAGACATGGATTCCAAGCGGGAGTAGAGGAAAAGAAGAACCTTTTCAGTTGTGCATTGACATGGGTGAAATCCTTCTCAGGGTACAAAGAAAATGTCTTTCACTTTGCCTCATATGATATTCCGATAGAAGGCTTCAAGGCTACATCAAGCATGGGACATAATCCTTCAGGAAGGTCAGTTTTTTACAAGGTTAATGAAGGATACTCCAGGCTGCGAGACATAAGGTGCATATATGTAAGTGCAACAGTTGCCTCTGATCCCAAGACATTACATTTATAAACCATGGAAGCTGCAGTAAGATTCAATTGGATATCTGAAGTAGCCAGGCAAACCATGGCTGTCTAGCCCATGAAGTCTGTTCTACCTAGATAGATTTTCACCAGCACCCTAGTGATCAGAGGAAATAGGGGAAGGTAGAAAAACTTATCTGACCAATTCAGAAGAAAAGCATCCTCCAGAAAGCCATGGCCTGCAAGCCTGTGTTTGGCTTTGGTAAGTAATCATGAACAGCAAGGGTCAAGTAAGCAGGTGGTTGGGTGCACTTGTCCAAGCACCTTGTCTGCATCATCACACCTCATTAACTGAAACTCATCCAATAAAGCTAGACCAGACTGAGTTCTGGACACTTCCCCTAGAGGAACTGTATTAACTGTGGAGTCCAGCTTGTGACAAATCTGAGCAATTTTCTCCTTAAATTGCCAGGCAAAATCGTCACAGTGGACAGTTGATGGTGGCATAGGATCTTTTTTAGGGCCTGGTTGTATTAGCCCATGTACCACTTGGAAAAGCTCCACCAGACTGCACTTTGAGGAGGCAATGGAAGTGCAGAAGAATGTCTTCGCCAGCCTCACCACCACAGCATAGGCTCGATAGTGAGCATGTAAGCGTGTTCGGTCAGATTCATCCTGTGATTTCCTCCACCTGCACTCTAGTCGTCTCAACCCACTTCATCGCCTGTAATTCAGATGTATACCATGGAGATGAATGGGCTCTGCCTGGCAGGAAAGGACACTTAGGAGCGATCGTGTCAATAGCTGGTCATTTCCCCGTTCCACAGCTCAACCAGAGCATCAACAGGAGCGCCAGCTTTATCAAGCGGAAAATCCCCCAAAGCCTTCAGGAATCCATCTGGATCCATCCGGCTCCGAGGCTGGACCGTTATAATGGGGTCCACACCCTTACAGAGGGAAAGGCCATCTCCGAGCTCAAACCTCACGAGGAAGTGATCTGACCATGACAAGGGAGTCAGACACAAGTTCCTCACTTTCCGATCACCCTCTTCCTGCCCGTCGAGAAAACCAGGTCCAGATTTGACCTCATTTGTGGGTTGGGTCAATGACGTGTTGAGACAGCCCCATGGCCATCACGTAAGCCATGAAGTCCTGACCTGCACCAGTCAGAACAGTCTCGGCATGGAGATTGAAGACCCCCAGGATGAACATCCTGGGGGTCTTCAACACCAGGTCAGACAATTTCTGTCAGCTCAGGCAGGGAGTCTGATGGGCAGAAGGGTGCATGGTACACCAACAGAATCCCTAATCTGTCTTGGTCGCCCACTGCCAAGTATAAGCACTCAAGGCCTGGTCTCAAGGGAACAGAAAGCCCTGCGAGGGAAATTGCATCTCGATGAACCAGACCAAACCCCCCACCCCTTCAGGATGTGGCTGGTGCTGGATTAGATACCCAGGCAGACACAGCTGAGAGAGGGCTGCATCCCCACCCTCAGATTCGTCACAAGCTGCACTCCACAGTTAATACAGTTCCTCTAGGGGAAGTGTCCAGAACTCGGTCTGGTCTAGCTTTATTGGATGAGTTTCAGTTAATGAGGTGTGATGATGCAGACAAGGTGCTTGGACAAGTGCACCCAACCACCTGCTTACTTGACCCTTGCCGTTCATGATTACTTACCAAAACCAAACACAGGATTGGTTCCTAGATCCAGGAGGTTATTAACGCCTCACTGAGGGAGGGCTGGGTCCTCGCTTCTTAAAAGAAGGCAGTGATCAGGCCTGTCCTAAAGGAGGTATCCCTGGGTCCAGAGATGGCCACCAATTATAGACTAGTGGCTAACATCCATTTCTGGGCAAGGTGTTGGAGCTGCCCTTGAAGATGGTCTGGATACTTCAGATGATGCAAAACAGAGCTGCCAGGATGCTGTCAGGGACTGGTCGTTACTCTCACATAACTCCAGTCCTCTATCAGCCCCATTGGCTTCCCATTGAAGTCTGGGCTCAATTCAAGGTGCTGATTACCTATAAAGCCCTAAATGGCTTGGGACCAGGATACCTAAAGGAATGCCTTTTTCCTTATATGTCCTCCCACCCCCTAAGATCGGCAGCAGAGGCCCTCCTCCGGGAACCCTCTTTGAAACAGGTTAGGAGACAGAGTACTTGGAGAAGAGCTTTCTCTGTGGTGGCGCCCTGACTATGGAATGCGCTCCCGAGAGGTCTGCCTGGCTCCATCATTATATGCTTTTTGGCACCAGGTCAAGACCTATTTAACCAATATTTTAAAGTTAAATATACCATTAAAATTAATTCATTTTAACTGTGTAATTTTATACTCAGTCGTGGTGTAGCCAATTTATTTGTTTAGGATTGGTGGGGTTTTAATGTTTGTAAACCACCCAGAGAGGTCTCTGGGCTATTGGGGTGATATATAAATGCAATCTATGTACCACAATAAGCTCCCCCAACCTGTCAGGAAGGCATCTGTGGTCACTATAAGCCCCAACTCAGGAAGAGTGAATGGTATTCCCTTGATGAGGCTGGGGAGGTATGCCCACTTAGACTTGTCCAAAGAGTTCAAAAAATGAAGATGAGTTCATCAAGGGTCATGTAGCTTCCATGTAGCCTGAAGTGCCTGATCCTGCCTAATCTTGGAAGCTAAGCAGGGTCAGGCCTGGGCAGAAATGGGATGGGTGACTTGAGTGTATGATTCTATGATTATTGCTGTCAACTGCCTAGAGAGCTTTGGCTATGGGCAGTATAAAAATGTAATATAATAATAATAATATAATAATAATAATGTATGGGATGGTAAGTATCTATGAACCTGAGCTGCAGTGGACACATGTGGAGTCTGGCTAATGGTATGACTGCAGCTGCCACGAGACTGAGAAGCCACTGTACCTGAAAAGCTAGGCCAACAGGTTCCTTGTGTGGCTTGTTGGTGATCTTGATCAGGGCAGGCACCTGGGGTTTTGGCAGTTAAGCTCTCTTGGTGACAGAGATGAGATGGGCCTCAATCAGTGGGACAGACTGAGAAGGAGAATGGAGAGATGTTTCTGTATTTATACAAGAACATAACAAGTTTCATAAAGTACAGGGAGGAGGAATGGAGTGAAGCAAGACCCACTTAGAGGGGGCCACAATCAGCCAGTCATTCCAGTAAGAGTAAACTTGACTACCTTGTTGATATAAATGGGCATGGGCTATTGCCATGCACTCTGTAAAAACCTGAGGGGTCATGGGCAAGCTAAATAGAAGAATGGTCAATTAGAAAGTATCTCTCTCTGGAAATGTAGAAAATGATTGTATTAATACTATACAGAGATGTGAAAATAAACATCTTTCAAACCTACAGAAACAAGCCAGCCTCCTTCATTTAGTACAGGTAGAATAATCTGAATGTGACCTTTCCCGTGACCTTTGCAGTACCCACTGCCTGGAGGGGCTTGCGGTAGAGGTCCACTCTTAAGTGGTCTGCCCTCTTCCTGCCGGCTTGCTTTGTAAAAGTTTGGCAATGTGGACAAGGTTCAACAATATGACCTGTTCCCAAACAAAGAAAGCCAAAGAAAGCACCTGGCAGTTGGTAGAAGTTTGCTCCCACTCTGTACACTCTTTCTGAAAGGGGTCTACAAGGCTGTATCCCTTAGAAGTGTCAAAGCTCTCGGAAAGATAAGAGCAGGAAGAAAAAGGAAAAATTAAGAAAGGGCCCAAAATTAAATTAGCAATGGGTAAATGAGGAGAGGTGTTTGTTCCTTCTTTTTAGAAAAAAAAGAAAGAATAAGAAACTAAGAAGATAAAACAGAATGCACTTAGTCATGGCCAGCAATCATGAGAAAACTTTGAGACTACCACAGTGGTGGTCAAGGAAAAACTGAGGGAATGGGTAGGAACCCCTGTAAATTCATGATGCCACAAGGGGGGGGAGGGGTTGCTTCCAAAAATTCTCAGCTATAGAAACTTCCTGAAAATAGGATCCATGCAGAACCCATATGAATGAATGCACAGAGACCACAAAGAAGAATGTAACTAAGGGCTAAAATAAATTACTGAAAGTGTAAAGATCAGAATTCTGGCAGTAATTCTACACAAAGCAGCCATTTTCAATGTTAGCTAGAATATTCAAGGATGCCCTTATCAAGAACCTATGTCTGCAGAATTTCATATAGAATCTGAGATGAATTCCCAAGCCTCTCCAGTTTTTTAAAATAAAAATTCAACCTTTTAGACAACTCTTGTCAAATATTTGAAAGCTAAGCTCAGGACAATTCAGATTTGAGGAAAGCAGAACAGTTTCCTGAGCAAAATATCTGAATGGCAAAAGTGGAATTTCTACAAAAGGTAATGTTTTGTAGTCACTTTATGGTGAGTATCTGCACAAGCCTAAGCTGTAGAAACACACACACACAAAGATGATCAGGTTAATTAATCTCATTTGCAGGTGAGAATCCATTGGATTCCTTGTGCTTTGCTCCCTGGACTTCAGTGTTTGTGGCGCCAGGAATCAAGTCCCACATGCTGTGCAAGCACCATCCTTCTCCTGTATCAGCTGCAGCCTCCATTTGGGCAGCCACACCTGATGCTGAAGACAGTTGGTAAATGTGTAGCTGGGGATCCATGAGTATTCATAAACTACTTCTTGGCTTGCTTTGGAAGACTAGGCTAAGTGCAAGAGGAAGCCCATAAATGCTTTGTGTGGCAGATACTGATTAGGGCTCATCCTAACTCTATCATAAGTACACTTGATGTATCTCCAAGTCCTGCACCCATTCACCCAAGTTTTCACTGGCTTCTAAGTAAAATATCAAATAAAGAGGACCTTACTTCAAAGACAAACACTTCACTAGGATCCTCTGGCCAAAGTGCTCCTTCGGAACTTCTGGGATGCAACAGCGTTCTACAGCCTCATCCTGGGAAAACAAAGCAAAAGATGCCTCCTGCATTCTCCTGCACTTGGTACTAGGGAACTAAGTACATGCATATAATTTATATCAATATTGGTTGCATGCCAAGAGCCATAGGAACATGCTCACAAGGTGTGTTGGGTAACCCCAAGTTCAGAGAGAGTGACCTATTGAGCCATATGAATGAGATGGGGAATGAATGCTGGGATTTCTGTGGAAATCCTCAGGAAATCTTAGAGTAGGCAAAACAACCCTGCAAGGAATGGCTATCGCTGTCCTGAGCAGGTGCAATAAGATCACCAAGAGGGAAGGAAAGGACACCAGACATTTAGAAATCTTCCCAATCAATAGCAGCCTACACAGTCAAAGTAGTAACTTCTACCCACAGAAAACAAACATGATTACGTAGCAGACAGCAGATAGTTAAGGAGCAATCAAGCAAGTAATCAACATAAATCTGAGGAGCCATAGAAACCTTCCTGTTCCTGTAGAAGAGCAGAGCAAATGTGTAAGAACCAAGGACTTAGAGAATGGAAGTGGGCAAACTTTGAACATGGACCTGGTACCCAGACCTGACTCACACTCCTTCTGCCTAAACAAGGAACTGTTGTTAAGAGCCTACTGTGCAGGACAACCAACAGACAGGAAGTAGTCTTAAACTCCCCCTTTTCTGTTAGCTTCTCTATAAGGCAGAAGGCTCTTCACCTCTTTAGAAATAAAGCATGAGATTGGGATACAATGGGAATATTTTCTGTCTAGACAACATCAGGTTAAGAGTTTGTATTTGCTCAGTATTTCTTTCGTATCTTTTTCTTTCTAAGTGTGTTGTGCCTCTGTGCATTATAAGGCGAGGGTTCATTCTTTCTGGCAGCATGCATTAGAGTGCGACAAAAAATACTAAACCTAGAATAGTAGAATAGATTTTCACAGATTCATTGAATAGTAGGGTCAGAAGAGGCCAAGAAGGCCTCTGGGTCCAATCCACTGCTGGTGCAGGACACCAAGTCATATCATCCCACTCAGAGGACTGTCCAGTTTTGCCTTGCATATCTCTAGTGTGGGAGAGCTCACAGCCTCCCTAGGCATCTGAAGTTTTTCCTGGTGTCTAGACTGAAGTATCCCAAAAGCAAGTGCCCCCCTTTTGAGATTTATATTTCCCTGAGATAACCTTAGTGTAACAACTATTATGAGAGCTCACCAGAACAAATGAGAACTTAACTGGAGCACCCTAGGGCAGGGAAGAGAAACTGGACAGCCGTAAGGTCTCCTAAAAAGAGCAAAACCACTAACCACAGTTGCTCCCAAACTATTTCCTACTCCCCTTCAGAACAAAATTACTGTGAACAGAAAGTGATGGTTGCAGTGGTTCTTCCTCCTACCTCTACCAAAATATCTACAAAGACTGTGGCAGGGGGAGCATCTATCACACAACCTGGTGCAAGCAGCCCTGCAAGCCCATATCTGAACAGACTGCTATCTGGTGAAATGTGCAGGATTCCACAAGCCCAAAGGAATATCAAGATGGGTGCTCACCTCATCAGGAGCAGGGTAAAGTGCCAGGATCTCACTGTGCCGGTTCTTCTTTCGTAGCTCCTCATTTGTACGGTCAGTTACTTCAATGGCAGTATGCACCAGGAGCGAGCGCAACAAGAAGTCAGCTGCAGAGTTCTTCAAGTCAAAGATGCTGGAGGCCCAGCTGCCTCGAGGTGTATCATCCATGGAGGCAGAGTTGCGCTTCTCATCCTGAAGGAATAGGAGATACCTGCTGTTAGGTTAAAGAGGACCTTATGGTAGTTGTTGGAGATTCCCTGTTAGGGTATGGTAGATCCACAGCATGGCCTCAGGTCTAGCAACAGCTTCCTTTAACTGGAAAGAGCAAACCACATGGTATATCCAGGAAACCCACACTAGGCCAGAGAATTTACTGGCTCAGCACTCAATTTCTCGTTCCTGACTCCAAGCAGAGCAGAACACATCACAGCAAGCTACCCCAGCTGGTCTAGGGCCTCTGGGAAATAAGCAGCCAAGCTTCCAGGGAGTGAGCAACCAGGAGTTTTGCGAAGGAGGAGCTGGAGTGGAAGAGGAGACAGAGGCAAGGTAAAGCAGAGAGAGCCTGCACTACCCCAGCTTAAAGGCTTTTGTTTTCAAAGAGACAGCTGAAGGGAATTTCCAGATTAGCTGATTGCTGATTAACTGAAGAGGAGTGGCCTGATCAACTAGCAGCAGTTGTGTGTGAGAAGTGATTCATTCTGGCTCCTGACTGCTAGCAAAGCACATCAGAGCAAGCTGTCACAGCTGGTCTAGGGCCTCAGGGGATATAAGCAGCCAGTCTCCCAGGGAGTGAGAAACTAGGAGTTTGGTGGGGGAGGTCCCCAACAGTGTGTTTTGCCAAGGGCAAAAGGTTGTTTTTGGATCAGGAAGTAATGTGCACACAGGTGCATTAAAGTCTACAGATTTTATTCCAAAACAAGTGCTACAATGTAAACAGACATAACAACATAAAAAAGGAAATACAATACCAAATAAGCTGGCATCCCTCTATTAGGGAAAAGCCCTAATTCTTGTCACCATCCTTGCTTGGCTAGATTTCACATTGGAACTTAATCAGGTGGGGTTGTGAAGCTTCCCTCTCTCTACCCTAAATCTAAGAGTCAAAACAGTTAACTAGCCACATCTGCTGGTGATAAGCTCCGCCATTTACTTTTTCTGCATTCCAATGCTCTACCATCCTAATTAGCAAGTGGCTTGCTGGATGGCCTCAACAGACAAAGGTGAGGCCCAGTTAAGGTAGGAATCAGAGGACAATTGTGTTACCCCACCTATCTCCTTGGTATACAATAGTCTTCCGGAATTTTTTCTTTACACACTGCCCCCTTTGTTTCTCCTCTTTATTTCACCTTAATTCTCCCTCTGCATGCAGTGGCAGAAACAATGCTCCAAGGAGACTCCACAGTGGTGGCTTGCAACAACTGCAACTGTTCCACACAAGTACCCCCATTAAAGGAAAAGGTAAAAGCACTAGAGCAGCACCCTCAAAGCAATAAAAGAAAACAAAGAGCTTCTCGGACAGAGCAGAGAAGCTGCAACAGGCAAGTATAGTCCAGAAGCAAGAAGAGTAACAGCACGTTGAGAGAAGGGAAAATGAGGAAACTTGCTGGAACAGGGTGACAGTTAGGTGCAGCAGACCTAGGAAACACTCTGCACCCATGGAAGCAGTGGAACTCTTGAACCACTTCAGGTTACTAGAGGAAGGGATGTGTGAGAAACCCACTGTGAAAGAACTACATGACACACTGGATAACTCTGAAAAAGAGAAAAAAGCCAATCAAGCAAGGAAAAGGATAGCAAAGTTTGCAGCAAAAGAAGAAGAGTGCTACTTGTGGGAGATTCCCTCTTGCGCAGGGTGGAAAAATATCTATGCTGTGATGACCAGAGAATCACCAAGTGCATGGTACCTTGGCTCACGAACTTAATCTGTTCCACAACTCTGGTTGCAACCCAAATTGGTCATGAGCCAAGTCAAATTTCCCCATAAGGTTCAATGTAAATAAGGTTAATCTGTTCTGGAAATACATTTTTTTAATCACAGGGAAGATGGCCACAATTGCAGGCATGCTGGGGGGTGGAGGGAGACAGGTGTGCTGAGGCGAGATGGGCACAACTGCAGGTGTGCTGGGGGGGGGAGATGGGCACACTCAGGGGGGATTGCGATAGTCACCCGATGCCGAGTTCGCGACCTGAGGAATTTTTTTTCCTAAATGTCTGTTTGTGACCCAAATTGGTCGTGAATTGAGGTGTTCGTGAGCCAAGGTACCACTGTATGCTGTCTCCCTGGCCCCAAGGTTAAAGATATAATCAGCAAGTGCACATAAGTCATACGACCCACTGACAAATACTCCTTCCTTCTCTTCCATGTGGGAACTAATGACACTGCCATGAGAAGCTTAGCTGAAATAACAAGACTTTGAAGCTCTAGAGAGGAAAATAAAAAACATAGGGGTCCAGATAGTCTTCTCCTCAGTTCTACCAGTATGTGGAAGAGGAACTGTTAGGGAAAGAAAAATCCTTCAAGTGAATGACTGGCTACAGTGGAGGTGCCATAAAGCGTGATTTGAATTCTGGGACTACAAGCTAAGCTTCCTGGAAGATGGACTACTGGCAAATGATGGGCTGCACCTCACAAAGTACAGGAAGCAGGTGTTTGGCCACTACATGAAAAACTTCATCAGGAGAGCTTTAAACTAAAACCTATAGGGGAGGGAGATGTGCAGCATGGCATACCATCACCTGGCAAAGACTTATATATTTCAACAGAGAAAAAACCTCAAGCAGGGCCCAACACCAGTCTCCCAAAAAACAAAGGAAGAAAACGAGGGCACAGCAAGAAAGAACTTCAATGTCTTTACACCATTGCCCAGAGTGTGGGAAACAAACAACACGAACTTGAGCTCACACTACATGAGGGCAATTACAATCTTATAGGAATAACTGAAACTTGGTGTGATGACCTAAATGACTGGAACTCTACAACTGATGGATAAAACCTGTTCATGAAAAATAGAAAGGGCAAAAAGGGAGGTGGAGTTGCACTATACATAAGAGACACACATATCTGCACAGAAATACAAGAAAAGGAACTTAGTAGCTCCAGTGAAACTATCTGGCTTAATTTAAAGGGAGCAAAAAATAAGAAAAGCACCGTTATTGGCATCTATTACTGACCACCCAGTCTTAAAGAGGTCAAGAATGCAACCTTCGAAAAGTAACTTGCCAGCATTTCCAAGAAGAATGATGTAGTCATCAAAGGGGACCTCAATTTCCCTGATATAGGCTGGGAGACAAACTCTGCCAAGCACAGCCCCTCCAAGAGATTCCTGACATGTGTTGCCAACAACTTTTCCAGCAGAAAAATAGTAAGCAAAGTGCCATGGCAACACACCCTCAAGGGGAAAGGTGTCCAAGAGGGATGGGAAATCTTGAAAAGGAAGATCCTCGAAGCACAACTACAAGCAATTCCATCAAGAAAAAATTGTAGAAGACAGCAGAGGAAGCCCACGTGGCTCCACAAGGAGTTAAGGGACAGCCTGAAAAGAAAAAAAAATATGTACAGGAAGTGGAAACAGGGCAAGGCCACAAAAGAAGAGTGTAAACAAATAGCAAGGAATTGCAGGGATAGCATCAGGAAGGCTAAAGCAGAAAATGAACAAAGAATAGCAAGGGATGCTAAGCACAGCAAGAAAGCCTTCTTCAGTTACATCCAGCACAAAAGACATAAGAAAGAGAAGGGTGTCCAGCTACTTAAAGTGAATGGCAGAATGATAACAGATGACAAAGAAAAGGCAGAGGTGCTCCTACTTCGCCTCAGTCTTCTCCCACAAGGAAATCTGCAATCAAGAGGAAGTTCAAGCTGCAAGTGAGAGATGGCAGCCCAAGACTGACAGACAAATGGTCAAGGAATACCTAGGTGGAATAAACACTTTAAAATCTCCAGAGCCCAATGAACTCCATCCCAGATTCATAAAAGCACTAGCAGAGGAACTTGCAGAACTACTGGCTATTATCTTCAATAAATCTTGGAAAACAGGAAAAGTGCCAGACAACTGGAGAAGGGCTAACATTGTACCTATCTTCAAAAAGGGGAAAAATGAACCTGGGAACTATAGACCAGTTATTCTGACATCAATCCCTGGAAAAATTCTGAAGCAAATTATTAAAAAAATCCATCTGCAAGCTTCGTGAGGAAAATGAAGTGATTAATAGAAGCAAGCATGGATTTATCAAAAATAAATCCTGTCAGACTAATTTAATCTCATTTTTTGACTGGGTAACCTCCCAAATGGACAAAATTGACTGCTAAATTGGACACAGAGTGCTCATCAATGACACCTTCTCAAATTGGATGGAGGTAAGGCTGTGCACCTAAAAACTGAGGCCTCTGAATTGTAGTGCTGGAGAAGGCTCCTGCAAGGCTCTTGGACTGCAAGGAGATCAACCCTGACTGCTCTTTAGAAGGCCAGATCCTGAAGATGAAACTCAAATACTTTGGCCATCTAATGAGAAGGACTCACTGGAGAAGACCTTAATGCTGGGAACTATTGATGGCAAAAGAAGGGGACGGCAGAGAATGAGGTGGCTAGATGGAGTCATTGAAGCAGTCAGTGTGAGCTTGTGTACTCTGAGGGATGGTGGAGGGCAGGAAGGCCTGGAGCGATGTTGTCCATGGGGTTGTGATGGGTTGGGCAGGACTTCGCAACTAGCAACAACTAATGGGGTGCCACAGGGTTTAGTCCTGAGGCCAGAGCTCTTCAACATCTTTATTAATGATTTATATGAGGAAGTACAAGGAAAGCTAATCACATTTGCAGATGATATAAAACTCGGTGGAATAGCAAACACCCTAGAAGACAGAATGAAGATGAGTGGGATGGTGTAACCTGGTGTACTGCAACAGCAGGGGGTTGGACTTGATGGCTTTCATGGCTCCTTCTAACTCTAGTATTCTATGAACAAAATGAGCAAAAGCTTTGCCATAAAACAGCTGCTGTAAGCCTGGCACTGCAAGAACAACTTTTAAGACTCAGGATGGGATTCCATGCTGCATGTCTTGCTTCCCAGATACACCTCAGTCTGCTAAAGTCCCTGTCCTAAAAGGTCTTCCTTTGGGGAGGGGTACCTTAGACCTGTTAATGTCTGTCTTTTCCTGAGGGTTCTTATCTTTTTACTGCATTCATTCCCCACCTGAG